CTTCTCCCCGCCGCCCCGTCTTTCAGCGCGTTGTGTCGCCGTATCACTGAGGTTGCCAGATTGGGACCTGGTGCATTCACCGACGACACTCGATCGCCAGCAGACGAGAAGAAGCGAGTCGTCTGCCGACCTCGCTAGAGGTGTGTACCCGGCTTATCACACGCGCCTGTGTGTCGGTTCTAACGTGCTGTTGTTTATTTACATCTGCTCCCCAATGACGAGCTCAAATTCGAAACCCAACTGGAACCTTATTCATGTTATATTTAGTGTGGACTCGTGTGATGTTTCGTTTGGAAAGAATTTAAGAGTGTGAAAGAAACTCGCCTTTTACCTGTGGGAAACATGAGTTAAAAATGTTATTTGTCGAAATTAATGAGCCTCCAGGGTGTGGCAGACAAGCTGAATCAACAGGTATGTGGCTGGTTTTGCTAGTCATTCTTTGCGAAATCTAGAACGGAATTTAAGGAATCACGGGTCTGAGATAGACGCAGGTATCATTAATGAATGTCGTATTCAATGCTAGAAGTCTGTTTTCTCTAGCCAAGTACCAACCGCTATTTCCCAGCAGATAGGCTAGCGAGCTTAATCTGCCACTCGGGCGATTGAGGTTCAAATCAGAGTAATGTACCGTTGAATCGAAGATGTGGGATGCATGCATATTATGTATGTTATTTCCTGCCAGACCAGGTCATTGGTGTTACTAAAACGTGTTCAGTGTATCGGGCGTTAAGATTTCAGCATCAAATCTGCAGCTAAGTCCCAAAAGCTCTATTTCGGAGCAGGTTACGAGCTTATTTTTGCTACCCGAGTGATCAAGCTTTAAATCAGAGTAATGCACTGTCAGGAACCTATATTCTATACTCGTAGTTCCTGGATTTCCTATCAGCGTAACAGACAGTCAGTGTAACTGGAGCGTGTCTAGTTAGGCACTAACACTTCAAAAACATTAAATCAGATCTGTAACTTAATGATTTGTATTTCTCAAAGAGAGTGTAACGATTTGCTAGATTCTGTACTGTTAATACGGTTCCGCTTATTCTGATAGTGGTTGGTTGGTAGGTGCGTTAGCGAATGCTGTCTGCTGCTTCTACTTTCTACTTCTTTTCAGCACTCCAGAAATGTTCCAAGGAAAATATTGTATCCGTCGTGGTGATTTGCCGTGAACAACATGCCTGTTCACTTCGGGTAATTTCTTCTTAGCAGTGTGTTTTCTTCTCTGTTCTGAGAAGATAACATCTATGGACTTGCTTCAGTGGCGTCATATGCAGTGGTTATTACTTTGCTTTACCGGGACCTCTGTCATTTTCTATATTATGTCTGTCTGTGTGTGTGTGTGTGTGTGTGTGTGTGTGTGTGTGTGTGTGTGTGTGTGTGAGTCACTATGTGCGTGTGTGTTTATAACAGCCACTTAAATGGATGTCAGCCGTAAGTCCCCTGACCAGAAGAGCGGGATGACTGAGCCCTCCAAATACAATGTACTGATAACCCTTCAAGTCGCGAAGTGCTGCTGTCTTGCAATTTTGTTCAAGCGGCGGCAGATCACTTCAGGTATTTCAGCGGTTATGGTGAGTACGACCTTTATCGATCACTACAAATAAACTCGCTTTCAGTGAAAGATTTTGTTCCGCACTCTCTATGGGGCACCGCTTTCGTTCGCCTGCATTTTGTTTGTTTGGGGGGAGGGGGTGTCAAAATTAGCCTTCATACTAACAACTATAACTGTCGAAGGAGTATGCCTTCTGTATTCATACCCTCATTATGGCAACATCTCGTACTTCGTAAAGAAAGGTGTGGACCATTCACTCGACTCGATTTCATTTCACTCTATCTTTTCTTTGAAATTTGAATCAAACCATAATGTCAAATAGGATTTTGACAAGTCTTTCTGCAGTGTGCAGGGAGCATTTAGGAAATCTGTGGGATTTCAGGAATTGACTCCTAAACGCTAAACGTTGAGGTAAACTTTTTTTTCTCCACCCCCCCCCAAAAAAAAAAATCCAACCAAAACAACAACCAAAAAACAAAGCCAAACCAAACAATCAGGGTTTTGGGGCAAGCGTGAGGGTGATAGTGGGGCCGATTGGTAGGTGAAGGGTTGGGTATTTGTGTGGGTAAGGGTAGTGGGGGGGGTGTAAGGAGCAGGGAGATGACGACTGGGGTGTGGGTATGGTATCAATGGCGGGGGGTAGGGGGCGAGTGGGAGGGACAATGGTGTGGGGGAAGAGGTGGGAGAAGGGTAGTAGGGTATACTGTAGGGCTGGTAAGCAGAGCTGGGTGAGGGGAGGGGGCGATGCATGTTGCATGTTGCAGGTTTGTGGTCGGGGGAGAAGGGGATAATACGTCTACTTTCAAATAGCTTGCAGCGAGTCAAGTAGGTCGTTAGCACTCAGCAGAACACACAAACATGTGATGGGGACATGTTTTCTTGGAAAGGTAATGCATGGACGTGACTAATTATGGTGTTTGCTAAGGGTCGTATGACGAAATGACAAATAGATCTACAACATGCTGCTCTTTTTTTTAAATCAAGTCTGGGGCAACATTGTACTGTCTTGCACTCTGTGCCCTACGCTGCACAGTTGGTTTTTAAATTGTATCTGGACAGTGGCTTCTGTTGTGTAAAGGTAAGACCCTTTGACGTGACACGGAAAAAAAGATAAAAGATGCTAGTCAAATTGCCATATGGGGAAGTTTAGTTAATTTATTGAGTTTATCCGACCTCTTTTTTTGGTGGGCGGGGAGGGGGGGGGGGTACTGCGTCCGACTCATCCACCGATAACCATTGTGGAAGCAGTCTAACCGTTAAAAGATGCAAACTGTGTTTATCATTATATAAAACACTTATAGTCATTACAGTGCGTGATTACAGTGATGGCATGGTGATGAATTATGATTGGCAGAGAGAAATTAGCCTTGTTTTACTATCCAGAGAGACACGGGTCTGTTAGCCTTTGACATCGTCGGGGTCTCCACCCATCAAGTTCTGTTGTTCATGTAGAGTGGCATTGTCACTAGCCTGTGAGGAAAAAAGAACACAATAAGAGAAGGGTTATTGAAAAGGGAAATTGAAAGTATGTGTGTGTGTGTGTGTGTGTGTGTGTGTGTGTGTGTGTGTGTGTGTGTGTGAGTGAGAGAGAGTGTGTTTGTGTGTTTGTGGGGGGTCAGGGAAGACTACAACTTCCTGCAAGTAAAAATGTGTGTTCCTTAAAAATGGAGTTCATGATATTATACTTGGAGGAGGTATTTTTATATCTTTTATTCGATACAAATTAATACAAGTGAACTAATATGACGCTGTAAACAAACGTACTTTGTGAAGCAGTTTTCAAAACTCTGAAGTCCGTATACGTTGAACAAGAGGTAGTTTATTAATGATTGAATATTGTTCATAGAGAGAAATGTCAACAGTTCAGAAATAGAGGAGACGGGGCATTGTGATTTGTGTGTGTGTTCTTATCTGATCACACATACGAGTACATCACAATGCAAACAAAAAGGCACACGCATAAACACCTCAAGAATTGCACACACACACACGCACGCACACACACACACACGCACACACACACACACACACACACACACACACACACACACACACACAAACACACACACACACACATTTACATACTCATATACACAGATTTTACTTCTCACATGGACAAAAACTATCATTTTGCCACAAGTCGATCCACTCTTCTAAAATCAAACACGTTTGAGTTTCTGTGCACGATCGTGGCGAAAAGCCAACCAGTAATTCAGTGAGCCATTTTTGTTTTGCATGCCGTTGAGTGAGTCATACCTTTTATTTGGGCCTGGAAGGCAAAATCGTACTTTCGGGGAAAATTTGTTGATGTATGAGTAAAACATTGGTCTATTCGGTACAATCTGCAGTCAAGTAGTCAACCGCAATTCCTCAAAAGACCCAATCCCAACAGACCATATCATTGCATTTGAATGTGATCATTGAGCATCCCTTCTATTAGGCTACACCACAATAGGAAGGGGATAAACGAAAGGGGGGCTCTCGTGGCCAAGAGGTTAAGGTGTTCGCCTCTCTTTCAATGGGTCCCGGTTTCGAATCCGGAGAGCGACGGACATTTTTCTTCTCTGAAAATGTCTCCTTTCTTATCATTTGCTGCTTTAGCAATGTTCTATCGTCTGCTCTCGACTCCACTTTCTGCCCCCACCCCCTCACCTCACCTGGGCTCCTGGCTCTTTCTGCAGCTTTTCTACTGCTACTCCTTGGCTCCTTCTTACTGCTATTTTTCAGCCACACCCCTGATCTTATGGTAGGTAAGATCTACATCTAGTCTTCTCGGACAAGGGAGAAAACTCTCGGAGGTCCCGTGTGCAAGTTGCGCACGTTAAAGGTTTCATAGTGGCCCAATATCGATAAGAGTAGGCTTCAGCCGCCACCCGGGCAAAATTCATACCTACTGAAAATGTTTAAATTAATGTGTCCCGCGCGCTCATATGATTTTATGCAGTTGCGAGCGCCATAAAACACTTACCGAAAAAAAGAAAGAAGAAACGAAAGCACACTCACGTAGCCATTCTCCCAGCCTGGGCCTGTCCCCGCTGGGCGATCAGAGCTGGAGCTGAAACATGCTCGTCTTGGTGGTGGGGGCGGAACTGGCAGTGTGTAGTTTTTCGCCTTTTGCTGGAGAAATAAGGAAAATAGACAACGATGTCAACGATTGTAGTTTAAGAATATCAATTTTCTTGACGTTATCATCATCCTCATCATCATCATCATCATCATCATCATCATCATCATCATCATCATCATCATCATCATCATCATCATCATCACCAACTGCAGAAGCAACAGCAGCAGTAGCAAGTCAAACCTTCTCTTACTCCAGCTCCTACAATCCATCCGCTTCCTCTTCCTCCCCTCCTTCTCCTTCTCCTTCTCCTTCTTCTTCTTCTTCTTCTTCTTCTTCTTCTTCTTCTTCTTCTTCTTCTTCTTCTTCTTCTTCTTCTTCTTCTTCTTCTTCTTCTTCCTGATAATCACCATGATCATCATCAAGCAAAAGAAAGGCAAAAAATGCTTTGTTAGTCTTTTCGTTTAACCATAAAACTACGTATAAGAAATATAGACTCCCCAGCCATCTTGTCTTGGTGTTGCTTTTATTTTCTTTCTCCTCTTTCTGTTTTCTCACCTTCTTTTTTTTTGCATTTCACATTACGCATTCGGTTATCTTGGTCCTTTAATCTAAAATTTGCCAAAAATACTTTTACCATGCGCTCACATCATCCCCCCCCCCATCCCACCTTTAGCACACACTTGCACACCATTATCAGCATTATCGCCCAGACCCGTAAAATGGGCGTTACTATCGATACTACAATTTTGGATTATGATAATTAACTACTAATACTAATGATGATGATAATAATGATGATGGTAATAATAATAGCAATAATAATAATAATAATAATAATAATAATAATAATAATAATAATAATAATAATAATAATAATAATAATAATAATCAATAATGATGATGATGATGATGATGATGATGATGACGATGATAATGATAATACTAATTAAGCTATTAACCCCAACTTGTTTTCGTCTTGTTTTAAGCCCCGTAACCGAATGATATATATTTTTAAAAAATTACATGTGTAACACTTAAAAAAAAAAGGAAATCTAGACCATCTGCCGATGGTGCGGGTGGTTGGAGGGCACTTCGGTGTTACAACTTTCCTTTCCCTCTAATGTTTCTGTCTATATTTTTCCCAGCACATTTTGACCTATATTATGTCATTGTGCCTTTCTTTACTCAAATACACAAACCGTTCAATTCTGTAGCCATCTAGATATCTAGCTCAAGTAATGGGCGTTTAATTGGGTTATTAGTTATTTTTTCACCCATCATATTAACGTAGAAGTAGAAGTTGTTTGTCAATGAATCTTTGGGCCGGGTTGTCACGTTCATGAACAGATAACTTTCTCCGCACTTCGCTTCTCAGTTGCTGAACGTGTACGAGCTGAGATTTTTGTTTAACCCCCGGGGTTGTATTCTTCATATTTTAGAATACTTTCTAGTACGAAGATCTCTTTTAAACTTTCAGTATTTCTCAAAAAATCATTTTGACAGACTGCTATGCAAAACGAACGGTCGGATTAACGAAAAAATTTCTTCTTTGGAAAGTGGTAGTACTGAGTTCCCTGCGTCGTATGGATACGATAGAAAATCACGACGTACGGACAAGGTTAAATAATATAATATAATATAATATAGTACAATATTATAATATAATATAATATAAAATAATATAATATAATATAATATAATATAATATAATATAATATAATATAATATAATATAATATATACTTTTGCAATACAGGGGGTGTGTCATCGGTAGTTACAATAATGATAAATATAACCCTCCTCTTAAGTGGGAAATCGGGGATCGATTCCCCTCTAGAAAAGGCCTTTGCTTTGATATAACGAAAGGAGACTAAAACAGAGAAAACAAAGAAGATAGAGACACAGAGGCAGATTGCAAGGATAGACAGAAAGGTAGAAAGAAAATTATAACTTAGTCAACATAATACACTACAAAGGGGACTATTTTAATACAGTTGATAAAAAGAATAATAAATATCGTACTCCAGCATAACGAATGATAAATAATTGAATAAATACTGCACTCAGCTTCAACGTAATTGGCGTCCCATAGACACTGGTCTTCAGCGACCTCTTCTGATCAATGCTTCTTTTTGTGTTGATACCATGAACTGGCGCAAGAGAAGTTGCCGACGATATGGTAAACGCTTCCGTGACCACGTCGCGGAGCGAGACAGATGGGGAGGACACCACCTCATAATAATATGTGGGATGGAATCATATGGTACTGGAGAATGGGATATGTATTATTTTTTTTTAAATCAAGGTTCAGGTCAAGGTGAAGGTCAACGCCCATCAGTTCATCACCTAAGCCCATAGGGGCCCCACACAGGCAAGGACCTGGCCCCGGGTCTGGTCCCGAGCCTCGAAAACCGCCGAAAATCGCTGCATGTGTGACCGATTTCATGAGGCCGGACGAATGACTCGGCGCATCGCGGATCGAGAAATTCAGACTAGATCTACGCCAAACACAGGAGGCTCTCGTGGCCTACAGGCTAAGATGCTCACCTCTCATTCAATAGGTCCCGGTTCGAATCCGGATAGCGACGGAATATCATTTCCTTCTCTAAAATTGTGTCCTTTCACTTCTTTTCTTGCTCTTTAACAATGTTCTGTTATTTGCTTTCGTCTCCACTTTCTGCCCCCACCCCCACACCTCCTTTGCCCACTCCTCTGGGCTCCTGACTTTTTCTGCTGCCTTTCTACTGCTACTCCTTGGCTCCTTCTTACTGATGTCTTTCAGCCACACCCATAATCGTCTGGCTGGAATAATCTACACCTAGCCTTCTCGGACAAGGGCGAAAAAAAACGAAGGTCCAGTGTACAAGTTGCGCACGATAAAGATCCCTTGGTGGTCCAAAATAGATTAGAGTAGACTTCGGCCGCCACAAGAGCAAAATTCAAAATTTGCTTAAAACTGAAAATGTCCCGAGCGCTCTTGTGACCTTATGCAGTTGCGAGCGTCGTAAAACACCTACCCCAAAAAGTACTTTTCAAGACTACCATGGAAATGCCAACTCGTTCGAGAGGTGAAAGCTACAAGCTACGCTGAGATATGGGGGCAGTCATCCCGTGTATGCACCAAAAGGGTCCAAATAAAGATTTTGTTGAATTACTGGATCAAGATTAAACGAAGAAAAGCTTGGTCGCTGGGCTACAGAAGTGCCAAGCAATGTGACGTTCGAACTGGCAAATTAATAAAATATGCTATTTATAAACACGGACAGATTCTGATGAAAATGAACAAGTTAGGACTTAGAGACTTTGAAACGTTTTGTTCGTGGGTGCGAGTCAACGTCTACTCTGGACCTGAAACAGGACGTCGTCTCGTTCACAGCGGCGAAATAACAAACCCATTGGGGGTAATAATGAAAATAAAAAACAAATGTGCGGTTATGTAAAAAGCAACACTGTCTTCTACCAGCCGTACACTTCGTGCGCCACAACTATAACCCTCTTTGCTACTTGGTGATGGCAAGAGAACCCACTGTTATTATCTTCCCTCCTAACATTTCAAAATGAACAAAGCTATAATATTCACACCCAGCATTCATAACAAGAGCCCAGATATCCGGTGAGACACTTAGACCTGCTCTTGCCGCGAAAGTGCATTTATTCAGAATATTGTCTTACAAAAACTTGCGTAAACATTGCGTAATTTCATAGCTCCAGGAAACTGGGATTAAGGTTTGCTTTTCGATGGAAGACTCATAAGCTCTCACATAAACTTTCCTTAGCCTTCAACTTTCTTTTACGACTATCACTGCAACTGGTTAAACAGATATGCTCTCTGTACACAAAGCATTTAGGAATTCTTACTAGAGCCCATGGCATAAACTTTCAAGCATGTTATTATTATTATCACCACCGTCATCATGATCATGATCATGAAAATTATCATTATCACATACCTAGCAACTTACAAACGAAAACTGATATGCGCGTTGAATCTATCTGCAAACAAGCCTGCAATACTAACAACCGCAGCAGTCCGGGCAGCTGAGCAAAGGAGCCAACCCTTACCTTCACACTCCCTTGTGTGTTCTCACGAAAGATCCGCTTACGTCTGTGTTCTTTTGTCACAAGGATGGATCAATTCTTCTATCTCATCTGCTAGAGTTCAGACCGAAGTCCTACCATTAAAGGGAGTCCGTCTTGTTAGCTTTAAGGCGGTCATAAATTTATTTAATAAAGTACTCTGAAGTGGGGAAAGTTCACAGTTTTGTTGAAATGGTTAAATTTGATAAAACTTTCGTGTTCCGAGTCAAAAGTTGAGGCAAAAAAACATAGATATCTAACAAGCATTATAAAACTTGACCTTAATTCGTCTAGGTTTTTTTTTGTTAAGTATTTTACAGCACTCACAACTGCATAAAGTCATATGAGCGCGCGGTACCCATTAAACATTTTTTGATTGGTGGGAATTAATCTTGAATTTTGCCCGGGTGGCGGCTGAAGCCCACTCTTACCGATTTTGGACCACCAAGGGATCTTTAACGTGGGCAATTTGCACACGAGACCTTCGAAATTTTTCGCCTTTCGCCGAGAAGGCAAGATGTTAGACCTTAACCACCATAATATCAGGGTGTGACTGAAAGACAGCAGTGAGAAGGAGCCGAGGAACAGCAGTAGAAAGGCTGCAGAAAGAGAAAGGGCCAAAGGAGAGGCGGGAGGGAGCAGAAAGTGGAAACGAAAGCAATTGACAGAACATGGCTTAGAGAGCATGAAAGGAGGTGAAAGGACAACATTTTAGAGAAGGAAATTTTCCGTCGCTGTCCGGATCTTAATGCGTCAATTCCCAAGAAATTATACAAATTCGTGTGACTTAATTTGCTCCACGCCAAAAAGGCTCGATGCACAAGGCACTCCAACGAAAGACAATGTGATTTGAAATGAACCTATCGACCCCAATAGACAACAGTCCATTAACAGACGGTCCGACACGGATTTTAAGCTTGAATGCGTGTGGGTGTGTGAATCATTTGTTCCCTATCATGATATTTGTATCAGAATAAAACCGTTGACTCGCCTTGTTTTTCATGTTCTTGTTTTTCCCCCTCAGTTTTCTCTGAATGAGGTACTCTATGGATGATGTAATCATAGAGAGGACGAGTCCACCAATCAGAATATGGAAAATTCCGGATACATTACTCAGCGTTAGTGCACTTTGATTTCCTGTCGACTCCTGTGAAAGCAGACACGGAAGAGAAATGGAAAACACGTTAAATGGTGTCGTGGTGGAAACCGGAAGTTGTGTAAATGAGCCACGGTGGGCGGGCGGAGAAGGAGTGTGAGTTGGAAACAGGATGAGGGTGATTATAAGCCTTGAAGACAGGGTGAAAAGTGGATACAAGTGGGTGTGCAGGGCGCGCACGCCGCGCCGTGTGTGTGTGTGTGTGTGTGTGTGTGTGTGTGTGTATGTGTGTGTGTATGTGTGTGTGTGTGTATGTATGTGTGTGTATGT